GGAATGAGGATGGAGGCTCATGTATGCACTTTCTGTTATTTCAGGGGTGGGACCCAGGGAGGCAGGCTCCAGCGCAGACCTCTCAGCTCTGGGCTTTCTAGAAGTGGGGAGGATTATGTAACCAACTGTTGGTTGTTCTCTCTGGGAGATTGGATATGTTCAATACAACTTAACCTCAATCGCTTTGTTATTTTGCCTCTTTTCTGATTTTTCGATGATGAGCACACACCACTGGCACAAGGAGTGGAGTGTTTAATAGGCCCACAGCCAGCAGCTCTGAGTCGTTCAGCAGGTGGGGTGCAGGGGTGGGGTGGCAGTGGGGCAGGCAGGGCACTGGCCACTCTGACTCCACAGTCCCCACCCCTGTTCCTGAGGACCCAGGCTGGCAGGACTGCACACCCAACAGCACAGGCCAGCCTGGCACAGGCAGTGGGCCACCCCCAGTCCCCCGAACACTCGTTTTGGGGAAGTGGCGTCTCAAGGAGGGGACGCAAAACATCTGAGCATTTCATCAAACCTGAGTGGGGTAGAGTCACTTTTCTGCATACTCTCCCTGGGTGCGTCTGACCTTCCCCTCACACATCAGTCACCCCCCAAATCCACACTGCCCGGTTCATGCCCCTGGGTTCAGAAACATATGACCAGCCGTCTGCAGGGCACGCCCTCACCCTGGCTTACCGGTGTACTCCCCTGTAGATACTCTTCTGCGGGCCCCTCTCAGGCCCCCTCCCACCTGTTACAGCCAGTGGCCTCACTGGCCCCTCCCTCCCCATCTGCGGAGCCCAGATTTTGCAGGCATCACCCTAGTATCATCCGCAGCCTGGGACCCCTGCACTGCACAGTCCATCTACTCCCCGTGACTCCACTCAGCTGCATGAAGCCCCTCTGCCCATGGGATGGGCCCTCAGGCCTCATGCTGCCCTTAAGCCCCGTCCACGCTGTACCCGTCCTCCTGGAATCCTCTGGGCTGCCTCTCACCAGCAGGGCCTTCTGGACCTTGGCAGGTGTGTGCCTCTGCCCGGACACCGTCCCTTTCCCGCAGTGACTTGTCTGGCGCGGCCCACTCGTTCCTTCCTCCGGAAGGCAACCAGGCTCTGGCTGCCCTCCCGCATGCCCTCGCTGTGCTGGGCTGGAGTGTCCCTCTCCTCTGCTGGGGAGCCTCCTCCTCCTGTGGGCTCGGGGTGCCAGTGCCCATCATGCAGCCTGTCTATGAGTGCTCTGGTGGCAAGAGCTGTGGAGCTGGAGTGCACGCCTGCTGGGCCCCACCCCCATTCTCCATTGGAGCTGATTGCTGGGTCTTGTCTCCACAGCCTGGGCCTCTGGCCCGGGTCTGCGATCAGACGTGTGGGGAGGTGAATACATTACCCCCGCACAGACTGTAACGTTGCTAATGCCACGGATGGTTTCTTGTTCTGACACTTTCCAAGGGTTTCAGCTTTGACACCCTCCTCCAACAGATGCTGCATCTCTTTTTTATACCTTCCTAAGACTTTATTTATTTATTTATTTTTAAGATTTTATTTATTTATTCATGAGAGACACACACAGAGAGAGAGAGAGAGAGAGAGAGAGAGAGAGAGGCAGAGACACAGGCAGAGGGAGAAGCAGGCTCCACGCAGAGAGCCCGACGTGGGACTCGATCCCGGGACTCCAGGATCACGCCCTGGGCCGAAGCCCTATACCTTCCTCAGAGTTTAGTAATCTCGCCAGACTCAGAAGAGAATATTGTCTGTCGCAGACTAATTATTCCTCAGCATCTATTATCTCCTCCTTGTTCAGTAACAGAACTCCTGAGATTTGGCTGGCACGAGGCCTTCAGAAAGAGGCTGCACTTCTCAGCTTCCCTTGTAGCTGTGGATGGCCCGGGACTGAGCTCTGGCCAAGGCCAATGGAATCAACTTGGAGCTTCGTGTGAGCTTCTAGAAAGTGTTCTTAAAGGAGGACATTATGCTCTGCTATTCCTTTCCTCTTTTCTGCTGGCTGGGATGATGGAATGATGGCTGGATCTTAAGCAGCTATTTCATACCAAGAGATGGAAGCTGAACGTTGAAAACAGGGGAGTAACAAGACGAAACGAGCCAGAATCTCTGGTGGTTGTGAGGCTGCTACACCAGCTGTGGACTGCCTGCTTCTGATTTTTGGTTACATGAGAGGAAAAATTTCTATCTTATGTTAACCGTTGTTACATTGGGTTTTTCCATCACTCACTGCTGACTCTATCTTAACTGAAAAGCCATTTCGGGTAAGAGGAAGTTGTAGGTCATGAGTCGTCGATTGTCAATCAACTGGGACACAGGACCCTTTGTGGTATCTGAAACTATTCAAACCTAAGTATTAGACTGAATTTTTTTTAATTTTTATTTATTTATGATAGTCACACAGAAAGAGAGAGAGAGAGGCAGAGACACAGGCAGAGGGAGAAGCAGGCTCCATGCACCGGGAGCCCGACGTGGGATTCGACCCCGGGTCTCTAGGATTGCGCCCTGGGCCAAAGGCAGGCGCCAAACCCCTCCGCCACGCAGGGATCCCTAGACTGAATTTTTAAAAAGGTTTTATTTATTTATTCATGAGACACACAGAGAAAGGCAGAGATACAGGCAGAGGGAGAAGCAGGTATCTTTTAGGTAGATTTTACATTTTGGACACTGTATCTTTTTCCAGAGATGATGTTGCTAAGTCTGGCAGGGACAGCGGTGCCAGACCCACTCAGAGGCCAAGCCTCTCAGTGACGTGGGTCTCAGTTGTCAGCACCTCCACGTGAGTGTTGCCCATCAGTGCTCTGTTATGCTTGGTTGGGGTTTGTCATAAGGCAAAGCTATTGCCTTCTGGGAGAGGAAGGGGCTCTTGCTAATCTTCTCACGGAGCCCACAGACGACCTAGGTCAGTTAGCTCGAGCCCAGCGCCAGCACCGACCACACTCCTGTCCTCACTCAGGCTCACAAGGCCCTAGGGAAGCTCAGACATTTAAGAGATGTTTCCTCGGGGCCCTCCACACAGGGAGAGTGCAGGAGTGAATGTGACCCAGTGGGAGGAACGTGACAGTCCTCGCTGAGTGACTGAGCACCTGGCTCAGCAGGTGGAAATGCTCACAGGCCGCCAGCTCTGTCCTCAGCCTGCCCCATGCTCTGTTCTCCAGCAAGCTGGCCCAGGTCTGCCATCAGGGTTCTGGAAGGTGGGGAGGGGGAGGGGCACTGCAAGCACTTCTTCAGGATGTCCTCGAACCAGATGTGTTTGAACCAGGTCTGTTCCTGTCCCACTGGCTGAGCAGCCAGGTGGCCAAGCCTGTGGTCAAAGGGGGAGGGCTCTATGATGACACAGCACGGAGCCACTCACTGGAGCCATCAACGGGGTCAGGGTAGCCCCGGGGGTCAAGGTGTCAGATGCAAAGCAGGGATGTGGGCAAGCTGAGTCCTATGCGGGGCAGTGGGGGAGCCTCAGAGGAAGGGCCATTGGGTAAAGGACCAAAAGTAGTGATGTCTAAAGAGGGAATGGCAAAGACGTTGCCAAGACAGGCCATGCCCACCATGCTGGTGGCAGTCTCTCCTGCTACAATTGGGAAGCTGTTGTATTTGCCTGGGTGGACCAGGGGAGGATTCCTCAGGGACTAATACCTTGCTCCCTGGGGATGGGCTGGGCAAGCCGGATTTGTCCCCCTCCCCAGGGCTACAGAGAGCCTCAGCGTGGCCACAGCCCACCACAGGGCGGGAATGTGCGCCGGGTGGGGGCGGGCACTGGGGCATGTGCTCTTTGTGCGGCTGGCCACCCATCACCGAGAAGACGATGCGGGGCCTGCTGCACCCTCGGGTCCTCTTGTGGTGCCTGGGGATGGGGCCCGGTGCAGCCCTGCGTGGTATGGCTGTGGCTGGCTGGAAGAAGGGGTAGGCCACAGTCCTGGGACCTGGTCCAAGCCTCCTCCGGGAAACAGGGTGAGCCAAAATTCCGGGCTGTGGGGCAGCCTGGGTGGACGGGGAAGGCTGGGCTGCACAGGGGAGCGGAGACCCTGTCCCACCAGGTGTCTGTGGGAGGGCCGGTCAAGACTGGCCGCTGCAGAGGGAGCACTGGGCAGGGTTCCCCAGAGGGTAGTGTATGTGTATAAATAGGTGTGTATAGAGAGAGTGTGCAGGAGGGAGACGGAGGTCGATGGATCGTGCAGGTTCAACTCATGCGGTTACGGAAGCCAAGGAGTCTCACCCTGTGTGCGCTCAGCTAGCTGAGGCCCAGGGCAGCAGGGACTGTGGTTCAGTCCAAGCCCAAAGGCCTGAGAACCTGGGCAGCTGACGTCAGGGGACAGAGGAACAGGGGACAACCATCTCAGTTCAGGCAGACTGGGGTCACCTGCATCGCAGGAACCGTCTGCTTTGCCCGTGCACTGATTTGGCTCAGGGGACGTCTGGTGGACACATGGCACAGACACACCCAGAAGCTTTACCAGCTCCGCTGGCATCCCCAGCCCAGTCGGGGACACGCAAGCTTAGCGAGCACAGCGGGCTTCTGTTCTTTGCAGCCAGATGGTTCCGAGTGACAGTGCTCAGTGGCTTCCCAGCACCGCCTGCAGCAGGAGGTGTCAAATCCTGGAGAATTTTATATAGGAAAAGTAGTACTTTGCATATTTCAATTTGCATTTTCCTGATTTTTAACGAGGTCAACGGTTTGTGTGTATTTACTGGCAACTTATGTTTCTACTTTTGTAAATTGCCGGTTATGTCTCATCACTCACGTTAAGAAATGGGAACAGGGCACCTGGGGGGCTCAGTGCAGGAAGCATCTGCTTAGGTTGTGATCCCCGGGGTCCTGGGATCGAGTTCCACATCAGGCTCCCCGCTCAGCGGGAAGGGAGCCTGCTTCTCCCTTTCCTTGTGCCCCTCCATCCTGCTCGTGTGCGTTCTCTCACTCAAATAAATAAATAAAACCTTTAAAAAAAATAATATAAATTGAAATTAAACATGGAAACAAAGTCAGATTGGTTTAAAAGTATCTTTTATCAGGGGATCCCTGGATGGTTGGCCCAGGGTGTGATCCCAGAGACCCCGGATTGAATCCCGCATCGGGCTTCCTGCGTAGAGCCTGCTTCTCCCTCTGCCTGTGTCTCTGCGGCTCCCTCTCTGTGTCTCTCGTGAATAAATAAATAAAATCTGCAAAAAAAAAAAAAAGCATCTTTTTTCAGACACTGTTTCTCAGGCACAGCTTTCTAGATCCATCTGAAGAAGTCCTTGTGCCCCTGTGACCCCATTGTTGGAGGGAGACACTGAGGCTCGGGGGGACAGTCCAGGGCCACTGTAGGTCTCCACATTGCTCCCTCTGTGTGGAGGGGTCTGGGTCCTTCCCCAGTGTTTCATTTGCCTTTTAATTTCACCTTCAGGGGCAGCCCTGGTGGCGCAGTGGTTTAGCGCCGCCTGCAGCCCAGGACGTGATCCTGGAGACCCGGAATCGAGTCCCATGTCAGGCGGGCTCCCTGCATGGAGCCTGCTTCTCCCTCTGCCTGTGTCTCTGCCTCTCTCTCTCTCTCTCTCTCTCTCTCTCTGCATTTCTATGAATAAATAAATAAAATCTTAAAAAAAAATTTCACCTTCAGGATGCTTGGAACAGAAAGCCAACTCTTTTACCCAGCCCAGGTTCTTGATGCTTCTGCAGCTTCTGCGGGGAGACTTCTCCTGGGGGACACGGGCTCAGGCTCCTGTTCTCCGGGAACACTGTGGTGGCTCCTCTTCCAGCATCCACTTCAATTCATGGGGAGTTAATGTGGGTGAAGACGAGCACCACCACCAACATTCTTTTCCCCCACCAGACACCATGTGGAAGCTTTCCCCTCGGACAGACGGATGTGACCCTGGCGGCTGTCACGCTGCGCTGCCACATGCGGCTGTCCCAGTCTGCGGGCCTGGTCCCCCCAGGGCTCTGGAAGCCTGCCTCCCCCCACCCCCGCCCGGCCAGCCAAAAGCACCCCCACAGCTGCGGTGACCCCCGCCTCCCCAGGGCCCAGGCCCTGCGGTGAGTGGAAGGAAGCTCAGTGAACTCTGCTCGCTCAGCAGTGTAGGCCTGGTGAGTTGGGCGGGGACCCGGGCTCTGGAAAATCACATGTGGTTTTCAAGTTGTCAGAAACCAAGGAAATTATTCCGCCAGTTGTGTGGACGACTAGACTCTGTCTGGGAGACCCCAGGTCCTGTGGTTCTGGGTAACCCCCTTCTTGTGGGCCCGAGCAGCTTGGCCCCCTGGGAAGGTCCAGCCTGCGGGCAAGGGGGCACATCTAGGGGCCTCTCCTGAGAGGGAGGTGCAGAGGATAGGATGGGTCCAGGGCTGGTGCCCTGCTGCCTGGACACAGGACCCAGAACTGCAGCAGAGAGGGGTGGGCACCTGACCCCAGGGCCTGCCGTCCATAGCCCGGACTCCCCGGGCTGTCCAGTGGGACTACCACACGCGTGCAGGCAGGCTGGGCAGTGGAGGAAGGGCCTCCAGAAGGCCCCGCTCGGCCATCGGCTTCCCCAGTGGCTCAGCTTTCGGACTGGAGCTGCTTCCTCTGGGCCTCCCAGCTTCTGCCACCCCCTCCTGCTCACCTGTGTCCTGTGGCTGCCTCAGCTAGACCTCGGGGACGCTGTGCTGGTGCCGGGTGAATGTCTCACCTGTGCCCAGGCTGAGGCCCCAGGGTGTCTCTTGGTGACACGTGGGCCCCAACAAGACAGGCGCCAGAGGCTGTCAGGCCCAGATGGAAAGAGCATTCAGCCTGGCCTGGACCGTCCCCATCAGTGACAGGCTGTGACCTGAACACATCACTTCTTCCGGAATGGCTGTTCTGTCACTTAGAAACGGGGAGAGATGGTGGGCCTGCTGGACCAGGACTCATCACTGCCCCACCTGCCCTCCACATGCCCGACCTGAGATGTGAGCACCGACAGGGCAGTCCCAGCCTGGAGGGCTTCAGTCTCCCGCATTGGGGCCCCCCTGCCTTTTCTCCCACGGGCGACTGCTCTACCTCCCAGCGATTCCTTGCCCTCTGTCCCCGGACCCTCCAGTCACTGACTTGTTGGTCCCTCCAGCCTGTCTTCAGAGGAAGGCCACCCCTGTGCCCGCTGGGTCTTTGGGCCACTCCCCCAGGAGCCAGTCCAGCACACACACTCCAGAAGCAGGCGCAGTTGTGTGGGGGCCCAAAGGTGAGGGGGCTGGCCCCAGGGGAGAGGACTGTGGGCTGCAGACCAGGAGGTGGAGTGCAATGGGACTGTGGGCTCCACAGCCACTGGGGCGAGGCAGTCTCCCGCTGGGCTGGCTGGCTGGCTGGCTGGCCTGGGGACATCTTTTGGCCCAGAGCTCAGCTATTCCCCAGAAGGACCAATGGGGGCCCCCTCTCTGCCCCCCAAACCTCCCAACCCCCACCTCAGGGCCCCACCAGCACTCTTGAGATGTGGGATCAATGCTTACGGGTGACCACATTTGGAAAGCAGGAACCCCGAGGTCTGGCAGATGAAGGAACAGGCCAAGGTCACCTGGGGTCCCCCAGAAGTGGGAGTGACCCTCACACTTCCCAAGGCCCCCGCCAGTGCTGCCTCCTAACTGTTTGAGCAGCAAAGACAGTTGTTGACCCTACTCCTCAGGCACACCCCAGCGGGAGCCCCTTCTCTCTCCTTCTCCATGGCCCTCAAACGTGTGCTCTGGCCTGCGAGCTACATAGGATGGGCTTCGTCCTGCCCGGGTGGGAGTGCTGACAGGCTCGCGTCCATGGGCTCCATTGGCCTAGCCCTCACGTGGCTGCTGGAGAGCTCCGGGGAGCCTCTTGGCCCATAGGGTCCTCCGAGAATGCTCCTCCCTCCCTCCAAAAGCAGCTAGAGTAGGCCTACCTGGCTGAGATGCCACTGTCCCTCCCTCCGGCAAGCCTTGTCCTGCTGCGGCCCCTTGAGCAGACCCTCCTTGGGAGTGAGGGGGAGGCCCAGGCTCCTCTCAGGAAGCTAGAGGTGGGAGTGCAGAGGCCAGAGTGTCCAGCAGACCCCCTCTGGCTCACAGGAGCCTGTGGACATGGGTACAGATGTCCCACCTGGTGCCAGGAGGCACTGAGCCTGGAAGGGTGAGCGGCAGCCACAGGAGGCCACGAGCCTGCCACTCCCCTGGACCTGCTCGCTGCTCTTGGGGACTTTGGATTAACGGTCATGCTCCTCAGCAGAAAGGGATGCCCTGACAGGCCCCGTAGCTGCCTCCGTGGGCCCAGCTCTAGGGACTTCCAGCATTTGAGTCTTAAAGTTAAGTGGAGTCCCAGCCCCACCCGGGCAGCGGGGGGGTACCGGCCCGCATGGATGGCAGTCACTCCTCCCCTGCACCTGCCCAGACCCTCGGGGGCAGAGGGCCCCCAACTCCCTGCCCCCATCCCCTGCCCAGCTCCCCACGAGGCTTTTGCTCATGTTCCTGGTGGTGACTCACTGTGGCTGAGGAAAAGCTTCTTTTTATTCCTTTCTAGTTTTTTTTTTTTATGGTTTCTATTTTCCCTGGCAGAGGATGGTGGGTGCAAATCTGATCCATGTGTGAGCCAGCTGAACTCAGGAGCGTTCCCAGGGAAGTGACGTTCCACAGCCGCCCCCGACCCTGGCCTTGAGAAGCCCTGCTTGACACACTCAACTGGGGGCAACAGAGCAAATTCCAAGACAAAGTTTCAAGCTTGATGACTCAGAGGCCTACAGAGGACATTTACGGGTAAGAGCTTGCTTCATCTCTGCTACCAGGACCAGCCTGGGGACACATGACATGGCAAGTGTACAGCTGGAGGCAGCCTGGCAGGGGGTAGGCAGGGGCCGCTGCTTGAGAGCTCAGGGGTGTGGCCTTGGTCTGGGGAGGAGGGTGGAGGTGACAGGAGCCTGGAGCATGTGCTGTCACATGTTCTGGCCTCCATCTTCACCCTGAGGCTGGGGAGCAGTGGGTCCCTTGCTCCCCTCAGGTGGCCAGCGGGGCAGAGCTGGGACTGCACCCCATGCACCCGCTCTTGACAGTCCCACGGCCATTTTAGGCACGAATAAGGCGAGCCAGTGAGAAGCGAAGGAAAAACCTTGCACAGAAGAGGTGCAGAGTCTCCTCAGGCTGGCTGTGGCTGCATGCAGGGGCCTAGGGGCTCCCTGACCTTTCCAAGGTCCAAACTCCGCCTGTCGATCATCCCAGGGGCTCCTGGGTTTTCCCAGCTACCTCCCAGGGTCAAACCCTCACGGCTGATCCTGGCTGGGGGCTGACCGTACGGGCTGGAGCCATGCGATCCACGTGCGCCTTTCCCTGCTTGCCTATTCCTTCTGCTCTGGGAGCTCTGGCCTCAGGTGTGAGACGCACTCGGGGCCAGCCAACATCTGTTGGCTCTTGTGGCAGATGACATCTGTGGACACACCAGGCTCTTGTGTCCCGAGGCAGACATCACCAATCTGGGGTTCTCTGATCCAGGCGGGCATCATACCATTTTACTGATTGATCCTGAGATCCTCCTACTACCTGATATATGTGCCCCCGGTCCACGCGGTGGCTGGAGCTACTGGAAACGGTCTCTCAAAATCTCTGGTAAGAGGAACGAGAGAAGTGGCAGTTTGTCCTTATTGGGATCTGAGCCGCTGGGGAAGCATTGTCTCCCGGGAGTGAGGCAATGTCCACAGCAGAAAACAGGAGAAGAAACTGTAGGGGAGGGACCTCGCCCCAGACACTAGTGCCTCTTGCCTCCGGTGGGCCACTGTTCCCCTGGCACATCCCCGCACACTGTGCTGCGGGGTGAAGGGACATGCCTCTCTCCCCAGGAGGCCAAGCATGTGCAGGGTGGGCAAGAACCCCAGAACTTGTATGGGAATCACTGTGTGAGTGCTGAGTCCCCCTCCTGTGAATCATACACACAATTAAATAAAATTCGAAAGGAATCTCATCCCTCCCTGCTCCCTCTCTGTGCCCTTCCAGACCTGCCCCTGTGTGTGGGGACCTGGGGGAGGGGGCCTTACAGGAGACTCCTGGCCCCTGCAGGGCAGCTGGCCTGCTGAGGAGTGGGGGACAGTTCTGCACCGGCCTGGCAGTGAAGAGAGCTCCCCAGGTGCTGTGCCTCCCCCCCCCCACACACACACACCGGAACCGGCACTGGGCCCATGGACCTGGGAAATTGGTTGGACGTCGGAAGGAAAGCTGGTGACAGTTGTCAGAGCAGGCCGGCCCAAGCCTCCAGAGTGAGCCCTCGCGGCGCCCCCGCCCCCCGCCAGCCAGACGGGGAGGGTCTCGAGGCTGGAGGCCACAGCTGGGCTCCCGTCCCTCCGACGGTCTCGCTCTCCTCCGTGGCATCTCCCCCAGGCGCCGCAGAACCGGCGGGGGCGGGGGGCGGCATGGAACCCCTGGGACCTGCCCCCGGGAGCCCCCAGCCCTTCCGACCCCCACCCCCACCCCCACCCCCAGGCCTGGGTCCTAGGCGCAGGCCTCAGGCGGGGGACACGGGCCCGTCGCCGCTGCGGAAAGTGCCAAGCGCGCGGCGCCCGGACCGCTCCCCCCGCCCCCGCAGCCCCTCGGTCCACGGCCCTGGCCCTCCTCAACCCCGCTCCTCCCCTCCTCCTCCTCCTCCCCCTTCCCTCGGGTGGGGGCAGCCCGCTCCGGAAGCCCCGGCGCCCCCGCCCCGGCCGCCACTGGAGCTTGGGGAGGCGGTCCGCGAGGGAGCGCGCCACGCGGGGCCGAGCGCCCGGCCGCCTGCAGCGCCTCGGAGGCCCCCGCGCCCCGCAGCCACTGCCCGGCCCGGATCGTCCCGCCGGCTTCACGCCGAGCCCTCCCGGACCCCGGACCCCGGACACCCCCCCCCCCCCCCCGCCCCGCCTCCCCGGGCCCCGGCCATGGCGGCGGCCCGCGGGGCGCCCCTGCTGGGCTGCCTCCTGGCGCTGCTGGCGCTGTGCCCCGGGGGGCGCCCGCAGACGGTGCTGACCGACGACGAGATCGAGGAGTTCCTCGAGGGCTTCCTGTCCGAGCTGGAGTCCGAGACCCGAGAGGACGACCTGGAGGCGCCGCCGCCACCCCCCGAGCCCACCCTGCGCGACCGCAAAGCCCAGACGGGGGGCAAGCCCGGGGCGCGCCCCGGGGGGGCCAGAGAGGGTAAGATCCCCAGGGGCGTGCCCGGGGGTGGCCCGCCACCCAGCGATGGGGGCCCTGGGGTGCTTCGCATCGCAGGTGACAGTGGCAGGCCCTGGCGGGGGCTTGGCTGCTGTCCAGTCTGCCCAGCGTGAGGAACGGCTCTGGAAGGCACCAGAGAGCCCCAATGTCTGGCGGGACCCTGTGCCAGCCCGAGGTCAGGTCTGGCTGGCCGCCCTCTGAGCACCGAGGCGCATCCAGCTGCCCAAGGCTTGGGTCCTCCAGGTCCCTCACCCCCAGCCCCCAGAACCACTAGCCCTGAGCCAAGCAGGGACTTGTTGCCCCCTCCCCAGGTCTGTACCGTGAACTGCCCTCACGTCCTCGGGGGTCTGTCTGTGGCACGCCCTGGCTGTGCCCGCGCCACCACCAGAGCCCCAGGCGCAGGCCTTCCTTGGGAGGGCTCCCCGGCACCCTCCTGCCTGGCCTCCAATTCCGAGAGTGTAGAGGCAGGTGAGGGGGCTGCGGGGCAGTGGGCAGACTGGTTCTGTGGCGATGTGGATCAAGTGTGGCCGTGCATCCCAGCGCCGCCCACCCAGGATCTCTTACATAATCAATAGTCAATAAATCTCAGTTGTTTATTGTGACTTTCTGGAGGGGCCAAGGGTACTGTTGGTCTCTCTCTCCTGAGACTCCAAAGCACCATCTATCATTCCTGAGGTCAGCAGCCCCTCCCCTGCATCCTCTTCTAGATCTTTCCTGGCTCCTTCTCCACCCCTTGGGGGGGCGGGTCCTAGGACCCAACATGGCCTCCCCCCCCCCCCCCGCCCCCACCTCTACTTCCTATTCCAGGGTTACGATCCTGGCCTCCTGGATGCTGCTGTGGCAGTCCTGTGTCTCCCAGCCAGGGCCAGCCAGCCACGCACATTCTGTAAATGTTTCTGTGCTCAGGCCTATGGCCACCACCACCCCCATCAGCTTCTCTGCGCACTTGCTCAGGGGCCTGGGGGCTCCCTGGCCTGCCCCATGCCCCAATCCTGCTTCCTCCCCCCAGACTCTGAGAGGTGAGCAGCTGCAGAGCCTGTCTTTTCCCCAGTCTTCCGTGTGCCCCCAGGACCCTGCATTCCTTATAGCTTCCAATCTACCCTGAGCCCTTTACTTTTTACTTCTCAAAACAGGCATGAGAGGCCTCAGACCCAGGCCCTTTACTTTGTGCTCTGGTTGGCAGGGAGGAGACCTCCTTCCCCTTTAGACTGCCCCCCCCCAGGCCTGGATGGCATCCTCGCCTCTGCCCCTTCTGAACTCAGTGCAGTGTCATGCTCCCTGATGAACTGAGCGGGCAGGTGGGGAAGAAGAGGGTGATGAGGGGCCTCTGTTGCATGTTGGCAAGTGGGAGGGTGAGGGCCTGCTCCCTGGGCCAAGATGGGTTGGCGGTAGAGACTTGCAGACAGAAAGCCTGGGTTCCAATCCCACTTGCCACGAGGGCAAGTGACTTAACCTTTCGGTTTCCCAATCCAAGACACACAGGACCACCAAGAGCCCCTGTGCCCACATCATGGATGCCTGGGGGCGGCTACGTGAGCCATAGCATGAGGACCTCGCTGGTTTGACCTAAATCTGCATTTTTGACAGCACCTCTGGAAAAGGTCAAAGACAAAGGGAAGAAAGGGAAGAAGGATAAAGCCCCCAAAGCGACCAAGAAGCCCCTGGAGGGGTCCCCCAAGCCACCCAAAAAGCCCAAGGAGAAGCCACCCAAGGCCACCAAAAAGCCCAAAGAGAAGCCACCCAAGGCCACCAAGAAGCCCAAAGAGAAGCCACCCAAGGCCACCAAGAAGCCCAAAGAGAAGCCACCCAAGGCCACCAAGAAGCCCAAGGAGAAGCCGCCCACGCTGACCCCCTCAGAAGCCCCGTGGTGGCCGCTGCCCCTGCCTCCCAGCCCTGGCCCCGAGGAGCTGCCCCAGGAGGGAGGTATGTGCAGGCTCTCCTGGGGTTATGGGCTCTGACCCACCAGGCTCCTAGGAGGGAGAGGAGGTCCCTGGGTCTCTGCTCCCTGCACAGATCTTGAAGGCCACTCAGACGGGGTGGGCTCTGGAGCCTCCTGGTTGCTGTCATGAATGTAGCAATCTGTTTGGAACTCCCTCAGCGCGGCCTGGGATGGGGGTGGGTGGGCCTGGCAGCCTTGTGGATGGGGTTTGTCCTCTTGTGTCTTGTGATCTGTCCCCTGGCCCCACCCAGAGCCATCCTCCTGTGTGTTGTTCGGCCCTGAGCCTTTAGGGTGCCCTCCTTCTGGGGCAGCTTGTTGCCCAGCCTCCCAAACAGCAGGGCCTGGGCTCCCCAGAATGCCCTCCGGCTCTCTGGCCCCAGGGGATGCCAATGGGGTGCTGAAGGCCAGAGGGGTCCAGGCCTCCTGGGAGTGAGCTCCGACTTCGGGAGCTGTCGGGAGGGCCTTGGTCTTGGTCTTGTGGGGGCTCCAGGTGCAACCAGTGGTCAGGGGGGTGGGGGGGGACGGGGGGCTTCCCATCCACCTGCTTGTGGGGTTTGCGTTGCAGGCAGGGCCCTCTCAAATCCTTGGCTGGGTCCAGGAGGAGAAACTGATGTGGAGCGCCAGGCTGGTGAGTGGGAGATCTCCCCTGGCTGTGGGGTACCAGCTGCCTGCGCGGGCTTGGCTTCCAGGGTGGGCCTGGGTAGGGCATCAGAGTCTTCAACAAGGCAGCCACGGCACTTCCCCCAGAGCCCGAGGAGGAGACCGAGCCCCCCACCCTGGACTACAATGACCAGATCGAGAGGGAGGACTACGAGGATTGTGAGTAGGCCCCCACTGGCCCGGCCCACCCGTGCACCTGGAGGCCCTGCCCACCTCCAGCCCCACCACCCTCTGGCGGGGGGCCTCAGACCGGCTTAGCGTTCCCCCTCCCCCTCAGTTGAGTACATCCGGCGCCAGAAGCAGCCCCGGCCGCCCCCCAGCAGGAGGAGGCCTGAGCGGCTCTGGCCAGAGCGCCCTGAGGAGAAGGCTGAGCTGCCTGGGCCTGGGCTGGAGGCCCCAGAAGAAAGGATTGGTAGGATGGGAACAGCAGGGGGGGGGGTGTGCCAGGCGCGGGGCTCTGCTCCACCCCTGCCTCTCCCCCCCCACAGAACCGCCTCTTAAGCCACTGCCGCCCCCCCCACCTCCTGACTACGGGGATGGCTACTTGATCCCCCACTACGATGACAGTGAGTGCCCAGGCCCCAGGCCACCCCCGCCATCCCCCGGGTCCGCAGGGCCCACAGCCCCGGTCTGCTTTCTGCCCTCAGCCGGTCCCTCCCAGCCCCCTCCCCAGCCCCGGTGCCGTGCTCCCCTTCTGCTGGGCCCTCAGCGCGCAGGACGCGGCTCCTCGGGCAGCCACCTCCCTCTTCCTCTGGGCCTTTCGGGCCCCCAGGTTCCAGTCAAGCCCTCCCACTGACCCTTGGGACCCGCCCAGCCCTCATTCCAGACCACCCCTCCTGGCCACAGGTGTCAGGTGTCACTCAAGATGTGTCCTCTGTGTGCCCCGCCTCCTGCCCACCTCAGCTTACCTTTCTCCAGGCCACGCCCTCCTGGGCCAGGCCGGTCATTTCCTGGGGTCCTGCTCATCCCATCTGCGCCTAGGTGGCCTCCCCTCCAGGAGACCCTTCCTCCTCATCCCTGCTTACCTGGATCCTTCACGGCCCACCCTGATGCCCTGAGCCCATCTTCTCATCTTGCTCTCCCTCCTGCCCAGTCTCTGGCTCACAGAGGGGGCCTGGAGGGCAGCATCTGGCCCACCTCAGCAGGGCTCTCCCCCCCCTACAGTGGACTATTATTTCGGGCCTCCCAGACCCAAGAAACCCCACACGGACCTGGAGACAGATGAAGAGAAGGAGGAGCTGAGTGAGTGGAATCCAAGCTATTCCCACCCCAGCCTGAGCCCCCTGGAAGCCCAACCCCAGACCTGCCGCCAACACCCTGCCCCCGCGGGCCCCTGTGCAGGCCTGACCCCGTCCCCTGCCCTCTGAGGCCTAGGACTAAGATGACAGGCCTCTGCTACCTTCCACTGTTCAGAGAAACCCAAAAAGGAGGGCCGCAAGGAGGAGGAGACAGATGACAAGTGGACGGTGGAGAAAGGCAAGGACCACAAAGGTGTGTTTTTTTTGGAGGGGGTGCTGGACCCACGCAGCCGGGGTTCCTGTGGGAGAGCAAGTGGATTTCTGAGGCTCCAGGACGCTCTGTGATACTTCCTTCCTTTGTCATCTCCAGGACCCCGGAAGGGTGAGGACCTGGAGGAGGAGTGGGCTCCCACTGAGAGAGTCAGTGAGTGAAGGGCTGGGGGGGCAGTGCTGGGGGCCTCGGGGGCTGGGGAGTGTGGGGGCCTGGGGTGTGGGGGTGGCTGAGGTCCATGCAGTGGCAGCAGGATAAGGGTGCTGGGCAAATGACCCAAAACTACATGTGGGTCCCAAACCCAGAATTCCTGAGGATTTTCCAGGCCTCCAGAACCCTTTTCTGCTCTTAAATTCTTGGGACCCAGAAGGGATGGTCCTGGGTCCTGGAGTCGCTCTGCCCTGGAGTTAACCCCTGGGCAGAAGTCACCGTACAAGGCAGGTGTGTAGAAGGCCCTGATGCGATGGTGCCTGCGAGCAGCATAGCTCTGGGGTGGCTGTGCCCTGTGGCTTCACGTGAGCCGTGTGGCCCTTTGAAGCTGGCCTTGTCCTCCCATTCTCCAGATGAGGGAGCGGATGCACCGGTTGGGGTGGAGCTGCCCTGACCGGCGCCCCCTGATGGAAGGGGAGTGGGCTATGGGTGCCTCATTCTGGCTTTCGTGGCGGGGAGGGACAGAGCCAGTGGGCCACCAGCCTTGGGTGCTGTGTCCCTAGAGTGTCCCCCCATCGGGATGGAGTCCCACCGTATCGAGGACAACCAGATCCGGGCCTCCTCCATGCTGCGCCACGGCCTGGGGGCACAGCGAGGCCGGCTCAACATGCAGGTGGGTGCTGGGACGGGCCCACCTTGCAGCCGGGCGGGGGTTCCTCCCCTGCTCATTTGCCCCGCTGCCCCCAACAGGCCGGCGCCACCGAGGACGACTATTATGATGGGGCGTGGTGTGCCGAGGATGACTCTCAGACCCAGTGGATCGAGGTCGACACCAGAAGGACCACCAAGTTCACAGGCGTCATCACCCAGGGCCGTGACTCCAGCATCCAGTACGTTAGCCGGGCACTTTGCAAGGGGTGGACGGCTCCAGGTGTAGCATTGCATCCCATTCAGGACACTCCACCCCCAGTCCTCGTGGATGAGCCAGTCACCCATCCGTGGCCCATAGTGGGTGTGGAGGCCCCTCCTGATGCCTGGGGCTAGCACCACACACCCCAGGCAGCTCTTGGGTGCTTGGGTGTGGGAGGGCCTGGGGTAGGGAGAGCAGCCTTGCCCTGACCACCATCTGCTCCCCAGCGACGACTTCGTGACCTCCTTCTTCGTGGGCTTCAGCAATGACAGCCAGACGTGGATGATGTACACCAACGGCTACGAGGAAATGGTGGGCCCCCGAGCGTTCAGCTCTGCCCCCAGCGTCTGGGCTGAGGGTGGGCTCCTGGCTGGGCCGGGGCACTGCTCTGAGGTGGGCCTCTCCCCAGACCTTCCATGGCAATGTGGACAAGGACACGCCCGTGCTGAGCGAGCTCCCAGAGCCGGTGGTGGCCCGCTTCATCCGTGTCTACCCACTCACCTGGAACGGCAGCCTATGCATGCGCCTGGAGGTGCTGGGGTGCCCCATGTCCCGTGAGTGCAGGGAGCTGGTGGGGGCTCAGAGGGATGGCTGGGGTGGCCTGGGGCGGCAGCAGGTGGCCAGCTCGGGACCCTGCCCACCCGCCTTCTGCAGCTGTCCACAGCTACTATGCACAGAATGAGGTGGTGACCACTGACAACCTAGACTTCCGGCACCACAGCTATAAGGACATGCGCCAGGTAGGGTGCTTGTCTCTGGGCTGTGGGGTGCCATCCAGCAGCGGGGCTCAGGGCTAACGGGGGAGCTCATGTTCAGCGCTCCTGAGCGCCATTGCCATTGCAGACATGGCTAGCGCTCACCTCTGGAAGGGGAAACCCTTAGGGCCTCTTCCTTGGTGGTAGGACCTGAGCGGGGCTGGGGTTGCCTGAAGGGGCCTCTCCTGCTGCTGAGGCCTCCCCCACAGAACAGACCAGGATGCTGGGACATGCCCGACTGCCTCTGTGGGCGACAGGCAGCAGGCTAACTCCGTGTCCTCTCCCGAGCCCAGCTGATGAAAGTGGTGAACGAGGAGTGCCCCACTATCACCCGTACGTACAGCTTAGGAAAGAGCTCGCGTGGACTCAAGATCTATGCCATGGAGATCTCGGACAACCCCGGGGATCATGAGCTGGGTGAGGGCCCCACAGCCCCCTGGAGGCCCTGGCACTGTGGTCTCTGGAGGTTCTCTGGTGGGGGGGCGGGGTTCCCAGTCTGCTTTATTGGGCCCAACAAGCCTCAGCTGCCCCCCATCCCCCTGGATGTGAGCCAGGACGGTCCTCCTGCAGATCCCCAGGGGATGCCTGGGGCTAGGTGGCTGCTGAGGCTCCTGCCCTTGCAGGGGAACCCGAATTCCGATACACTGCTGGGATCCACGGCAATGAGGTGCTGGGCAGAGAGCTGCTGCTGCTCCTCATGCAGTACCTGTGCCGCGAGTACCGGGATGGGAATCCCCGTGTGCGTAGCCTGGTGCAGGACACGCGCATCCACCTGGTGCCCTCACTGAACCCCGACGGCTACGAGGTGGCAGCACAGATGGTGGGTGGGGGAGTGGAGGGGTGGGAGGGTGGAAGCTGGGCTGGTGGGTAGGGGCGGCAGGGCAGGATGGGACAGGGGAGCGGGGCCGGACAGCCTGGGGTCAGGCTGACACCAACCCCACTGGTTCCTCCAGGGCTCCGAGTTTGGGAACTGGGCATTGGGGCTGTGGACCGAAGAGGGTTTTGACATCTATGAAGACTTCCCAGATCTCAACTCTGTGCTCTGGGGAGCAGAGGAGAGGAAATGGGTCCCCTACCGGGTCCCCAACAATAACCTGCCCATTCCTGAACGTTACCTCTCCCCAGACGCCACGGTGAGGCCTCAGCCCAGCTAGCAGGCCTGGGGGGCAGCCTGAGCTCTGGACCACCTGGGGTGGGCTGGAGGTTGACCGAGGCTAGGCGCTAAGCCTGCAGAGGCTTGGGGCATGAGTCGTGGGGTGGGGCTTCTGTAAGGGGGGTGATGGAGGCTGCAGCTCAGACCTCACCTAGTGGCCACCCCCAGGTATCCACGGAGGTCCGGGCCATCATTGCTTGGATGGAGAAGAACCCCTTCGTGCTGGGGGCAAACCTGAATGGTGGCGAACGGCTGGTGTCCTACCCCTACGACATGGCCCGAACGCCCACCCAGGAGCAGCTGCTGGCCGCGGCCATGGCAGCTGCCCGGGGAGAAGACGAGGACGAGGTGTCTGAGGCCCAGGAGACCCCAGACCACGCCATCTTCCGCTGGCTGGCCATCTCCTTCGCCTCTGCCCACCTAACCATGACAGAGCCCTACCGGGGAGGGTGCCAAGCGCAGGACTACACCAGTGGCATGGGGATTGTGAACGGGGCCAAGTGGAACCCCCGGTCTGGGAGTGAGTCTGCCGGGGAAGGGCGGTCAGGGCATGCAGTGGGCCTGCCGGCGGGGCACACAGTGACTGCAGTTCCCTGTCGCCTGTGCAGCCATCAATGACTTCAGTTACCTGCACACCAACTGCCTGGAGCTGTCCATCTACCTGGGCTGCGACAAGTTCCCTCACGAGAGCGAGCTGCCCCGCGAGTGGGAGAACAGCAAGGAGGCTCTGCTCACCTTCATGGAGCAGGTGGGGTGAGCAGGGTGTGCGGGGGGCCTGAGGGGGGGGCACGGGGCCCAGGCAGCCGAGGACGTGCTGCCTTGCCCTCCTGCAGGTTCACCGCGGCATCAAGGGGGTGGTGACAGACGAGCAGGGCATCCCCATCGCCAATGCCACCATCTCCGTGAGTGGCATTAACCACGGCGTGAAGACAGGTACCTGGGTGCCCGGCTTTCCGGGGGGAGGGGGGCCCTGATCTCGGCGCCCCGCCCTGCGCGAGGGGGGTAGCTCGGGCAGCAGACCCGGCCTCCCCCTGCAGCGAGCGGCGGGGACTACTGGCGCATCCTGAACCCGGGTGAGTACCGCGTGACGGCGCACGCAGAGGGCTACACCCCAAGCGCCAAGACGTGCAACGTGGACTACGACATCGGGGCCACGCAGTGCAACTTCATCCTGGCCCGCTCCAACTGGAAGCGCATCCGGGAGATCATGGCCATGAACGGGAACCGGCCCATCCCGCACATCGACCCATCGCGCCCCATGACCCCCCAGCAGCGGCGCATGCAGCGGCGCCGCCTACAGTACCGGCTGCGCATGCGCGAGCAGATGCGGCTCAGGCGCCTCAACGCCACCGCGACCCCCGCGCTCCCCACGGCGCCCCCCGGCCCCACTCTCCCCACGACCCCCTCCCCCGCCGCCACCCCCACCCCCAGCCTGGGGCCCTGGCACTTTGCGCCCGAGACCACAGAGGCCACCGAGGCCACCCCGGCGGGCTGGGAGGAGTCGGAGACGGAGACCTACACGGAGGTGGTGACGGAGTTTGGGACAGAAATGGGGCCGGAGGAGGAGGAAGAGGACGAGGAGGGAGTGGTCATGGGCCCGGATTTCCCTTTCACCACGGTCGAGACCTACACAGTGAACTTTGGGGACTTCTGAGCACACGCCCGCCCACCCCCGCGCCAGCTCAGTGCCCTCTGTGCGGCCGGGCCAGGAGGGGCGCCCGGGAGCCAGGGCGTGCAGGCGAGCTCCTGCGGGCCGCGCGGGCCTGAGCAGTGGACAGGACGGCGCTGCAGCGCAGACTCCTCAGCCGAGCCGCCAGATACACCAATAAAGCAAGCTCTTGGCAGATGTGTCGCTGAGCCCTTGGGGAAGGGCGGGGCGGGGCGGGGTGGAGTTGAACCACCTTCCCGCAAGTGCCTGGGCCCAGCAAGCCCAGTGGGACCAGCGTCAGGTCTGCCCAGGAGCTCAACGCCAGCACACCAGGCAGGGTTTCTTTCTTTTTTCTTTTTCTTTTTTTTTTTTTTAAGATTTTATTTTAGAGAGAGAGTGAGCAGGGGGAGAGGGAGAGAGAGAGAATCTCAAGCAGCCTCCCCACTGAGCTCGGAGCCTGTCCTTGGGCTGGATCCCACAACCCTGAGATCACAGCCTGAGCTGAAATCAAGAGTTGGATGCTCAATCCACTGAGCCACCCAGGGGCTCTGATCAGGCTTTTTTTTTTTTTTTTTTCAGGCTTTTGTTATAAAACAAATGCCCCCTCAGACCGTTGCACGGTCTCAGTGAGTCAGGGGCTCAGACCCAAGCCCCCTAGGTCCTCGTCCTCTGCCCCGAAGCCTGAGAAACTGATGGGCTGGCAGGCCAAGCTGCGCAGATTCACAAGGCAGGCAGTCTGTGTGGTGCTGAAGTCTGGGACAGCCACCAACAGCACCCTCTGGTCCTCTGGGCCTGCAAAAAAGCCACATAGGTCCCCCACCTCAGGTTCTGGGTGTGCCTCGTCTCAAGGGGAGTCACCAGAAGCAAACAGGAGTTCCCCATCAGCACCATGCGAGTGCTGGCCATACCAGCTCCTTTGGACCGGACACACCGGACGCAAGGGCCAAGAAAGCATAAAGGTTAAAGGCTAAAGTCCAGCTGACCAAGCAGGTGTGGACTGGTCAGCCCTTGCTCAGGCCACCAACCCCAGGGGGCCTGGGGACTCCAGTGAGGCCTTCTCTGTGAGCCCTATCCCCAGGAAAGAGTCCCTTGTGATAGTCCCCCTAGGCCTGGGGTCCCCAGAAGACTCACCTCGGAAAATTTTAGAGCCAAACTGGGGGGTGTTCCCACAAAAGTAGACGTGAGGGCAGTCCAGAAAGATGAACGGGTCGTTCTTATAGAAGGGGTAGCAACCTAGAGAAAACCCGCAGTGGCTGGTGCTTACCCTTCGCGGTGCAGGGTCAGGGTGCAGCTGTGCACGCAGGGTGTGGACCCACCCCTGCCTGTTCATACTCGCTCAGGCTACACTGTAGCAGCCCTGCCCTTCTGGACAACAAAAATGTCTCCAGACACTGCCCCAGGGCCCCGGAGTCAGGTTAGCATGTGCTGAGGATGCCCTGCTAGGCGGGTCTGTGGCACTGTGCTCCTAATGTGCTCCCCACAGCCTTCTGCCCTACACAGGGCCATGGCGATACACAGAGCTGATTCCAGAGAAGCTTCCAGATCTGGTATCAAGCTTTTGGACTATCCCTTAGGTCACGGCAGGACTGGTGAGTGCAATCCACGCTGCAAACCCTCTGGGTGTCATGGCCCCGGATCAGGACTCCCTTGGCCCTCTGGCCCCACCCCACGTGGCTGAGTCCCAGTACCTAGTGTGTCAGGGGCTGTAGGGCTGATGTGACGGATGCGCAGGGTCCACTCCAGGATCTCCAAGTGATCCTCCATGCTACTGTACCGGAAAATGTCACTCACGTTTTGTCCCGATGTCCCTAGGAATCTGCAAGGCAAGGCTCAGCTGGTCCCTACTCTGGGGGCTGCCACCTGTGCCCCCAGGAGCCAGCCCAGAGCTCACCCAGCACTCTCACGGCTGGTGTCCCAAGCTGACTTAGAGAAAGAATCCAGATCCACTGGGCCCTCTGCAGCCTGATTCGAAGCCTCCCTCCCAGTGCCACCGAGGCACAGTGCCAGGGGTCAGACTGGGGCGTGGCTGCAGGTGGCTACCTGACTCCATCGATGGTGGCTTGGTAGGGATTGGTGACCAGCTGGAGGGTGGAATAGGCAGTGGCCAGTGGGAACATGCAGGGGTGCAGGGGCTGCTGAGGGAGTGTGTAGTTGGTTGGGTCAAATTCGCCTGGCATCACGTCCACGGGTACCGACGCCTGGGGGCACAGGGGCAGGGGAGCTTGCAGGGCCCAGCGCCCTCCATACACAGCCCCTGGGGATCACCCCCTCCGCTCCCCCAACCCGCCTTCCAGTGCCCAACCACAGCCTCAGAGGCTCCAATCTCATCACTGGCCAGCCCTTGGCTCACTCACACTCAGTTGCAGGAGGATCTCATCCAGCATTTTGACCGCCTCCACGCTGGCTGCCTGGGTTTTCTTGGTTAAGTACTTGGCCTGGGGATAGAAGTCCATAGGCTGTCAGGCCCCAAGAGAGGTTCAGATCAAAGAGACACTCAGAGCACTGCCTGGGCAGCGGAGAGCAGAGCAAGACCACACAGCTAGGGGACGGAAAGAGTTCTGTGCCACGGGCCCCCCCGCCCTCAGAAAGCAGGGCCTGAATCATTGCAGGGCCCCTGCCAACAGACACGCGAGACCCCTGCACCCCAACTCTCCCTGGAGAAGCAGGGGCTTGAATGGGTGGGCCCCGTCTCAAGGCCCCCATGGGTGGGGACTGTACCTTGTTGATGGAATCTCTGCTCTGGGTATTGTGGCTCAGGAGGTTCCCGGCGAGGATGACCCGGGACACATGGGCGGCGCTACACTGCTCTCCCTCGTCCCCAAGCTGCCCTGTCACCACGTCCACCAGCAGCTGGGTGCCCAGCAGGCTCTCACCCCCGCCTCCGCCCAGGCCCAGGCCAGACACCAGCAGCACAAACCTGTGGGAGAAGTCAGGGTCCTCCTGGGTGCCGAGAGCAGGTGACCCCGCCGCCCGGCCCCTTGCAGGGCTCTGCCACGGTCACGGGTGAGCTGGGGACATGGAGCCCAGCACATGTGATTCCCCTGGACCACTGGCCAGGCCCCTGAGCGCCTGCTCGTCACCTGTCTGTGTCCAGGGTGGGTGCGGGCTTCTGAGGAGCAAGCTCTGCAAAGCAATGGTCCTCCACCAGGAACTTCCCGCTGTCTCTCACAGAGCCAAGCACAGCCAGCACTGTCCCTAGGGGGCAGCGGTGTCAGGCTCCAGGAGGGAAGCCCAAGAAGCTACCCCCTCCTTCAGGCACCCAGGGGCAAAGCCAGCCAGTTCCCTTCTGCCACGTGGGAAAACTCTCACTGAAGACTTGGGCCTGAGCACCTGCTTCCTGGGGTTACTGCCTCTGGGTGGAGGCTGGAACCACTGACCCCCTTCTGGAGCCTCACACACTGCCTGCCCCTACAGCCATCATTCTAGGGAGGCAGGAATGCAGTAGCACCACAGGCACAGCCCACTGCCCCACCTGTGACCAGCTTTGAGGCGTCAATGCTGCCTTCCAGCTTAATGCGCTGTAGTTCATCTTCCAAGACCAGCTGGTCGTCGGGATGGATATACTTGCTCCGAGGAGGCTGCGGCAGCAGGTTGTGCTGGAATTCAGAGATGGGGGTGGTGTTGGGGCCGGAGGCTTCCAAACCACATAGGTGAGATGTCACTGCATCCCACACCCCAGGGGGCAGAGGCCCAGCCCTGATCTCTGTGTCCACGGCAGGTGGCCCTCCTGGTGCCCCCTGCAGGAGCTGGCCAGCCTCACCTCTTCACTGATCTCCCGGAGGATGGATGGCTGAAGTGGCATGGCCTTGAAGAGGGTCCCCACCACACAGCATTTCTCCCCAGGCTGCAGCTCACATAGCTTCTTTATTTGGACTCCATCACCTGGGTGTGACAGACACACGCTCAGAGACCCGGCGGCCCTCCTAGCCCTCCTCGGGGCGCGGTAATGGCCTCACCCCACACTGCAGCCTGTGGCCCGGCCTCTGGAGATGCAAGGACGCCCCCAACACTAACAGACTCGACCCCAGGACAAAGGGACGTGCCTGGGCCCCCGTGTCCCATGTCCTCGTAAGAAAGGCAGACATGCAGGAAAGTGGGCGGCCACCAGAAACTAGAACAGAGGAAGAGGTCCCCTGGACAGCCTGTGGAGGGAGGGGCCCTGCCAGCACCTGGATTCAGAGCTCCGGTCTTCAGAACGAACGCAGAATAGATTTCTGTGGTTTAAGCTGCTGGGTTGTCTGTTACAGCAGAGACCAACTAGGGACTTGATACACAGTATTACGTCACTTATCCCTAAGTTATATCGTGGGTTCTTAGAAGCATGCCCAGTCTCAGTCCAGCCCTCCCCTAAAAGCTTTAGAGAGGCACGATGTGCAGGGCTCCCCCAGGCAGGCAAGAGGAAGGCTGGTGGGTTTGTCCATCAAGACGCTGGGCCTGGAGTAAAGTCTGCCTGAAGCAGAAGGGATAATGCAGCAGCAGGACTGGCCCCTTCCTAAGCCCAGCTGCCCTTAGCATGAGCCCCTTCTGCCCAGAATAACCAAGAACATTCCACAGATCTACACCCTGGGAAGTGGAGGCTAGTCATTCCAAACAAGATAAGGAGGCGCCAGCAGCAGAAAGATATGCCGATGCCACGGAAACAGACCCAAAGCCTGTCTGCTGAGCCCTCACTCAGCCCCTGGGGGCAGCACTGAGCCCTGTCCCTGGAACCTACCCACGCCTGCCAACACACCAGAGTAGGCCTTACTGCCCACCGTGTGCTTGAGGCAACAGAGGCACCGAGAGGCTAAGGGACGCACCCAAAGTTGCACAGCTGGGATGGAAGGTGCCCGTCCAAGCACCAGGGAGAACCACGCATCCCTGTGTAGAGGGCAGGACCTCTGTCTGGCTGGACAGCATGTGGGCACCGGGCCGGGCACCAGAATCAGAGTGGACAGCACAGCCTGTCCTCACCCTCACCAAGCTTACAACCCCAAGAGGGAGAGATGACAGCAGTCAGCGAGGGATCAGCCACTGTGACAGGTGTACAGACACAAAGGAGCCAAGGCGGAAGGTAATGAGAAAGCCCCGGTGGCTATTGTGGCCTCTTGAAACCCGTGACACTTGAGGTCATGAGGGAAGACAGGGGAAGAGCATGCCAGGGGAAGGGAGTATCAATAGGAAGAAAGAGCTTGGTGTGTTCAGGAAGAGAGAGAGAGAGAGAGAGAGAGAGAGAGAGAGAGAGAGAGAGAGAGAAACGAGTCCCAGACAGGCTGAAGTCCCTGGTCATGTGGGGAAGCCGGCACCCACACCAGGCTGGCAGGCCTACAGTTGGCTGCTGGCCATCATCCAGCCAAAGCTCCACTCATCACGGGCCACTGTGTGAGCTCCTGACTGTCTGTGAGGGCCAAAGGGGGCCGGGAGCCTGTCACTGGGCAGTTGTCAGCAGCGGTGGGGCTGGAAGAGAAACCTGCACCAGAACAGTGACATGGGCCTGGGGAAGGTCCCCAAGGGCTTCAAGAAAAGTGAGGAAGGCCATGGGGAGCCACGGGAAAGAGACCCTCATTATGTGGCAGAGAACACGTGAACAGCACTGTCCCTTCTGCAGAGATAAGAGAAAACGTCCCTAACATACCTGAGGTCTGGCTGTCCTCACGGCCTGTAATAAACCAGGGTCAAGTCTGTCGCTGGTTTGGGATGGGCCTGAGCACCACTGCTCCCCACAGTCGCGACCGGACCTGGAGCCGCGGAGGCCAAGGCTGGGGCCAACAGATGTGGAGGGGTAACACGGTCCTCCCCATAAACATTTCAGATGAACTGAACTTGGCACGGAGAGCTACTCAGATCCACAGTGAGACGGGGAACGCGGCCCCAGAAAGTTCCCCCGGGATAATCATGTGAGAGGAGAGGTGGAGGACGAAGGAGGTGGAGAAAGAAGACGCGCCCTGCCCAGGCCCCTGGGTTAGGAAAGACAGAGGAGCCCAAGGGAGGGGAGATTCATGCCCGACCAGGACGGAGGGCCCGGAGGGGCAGCAGAAGACATAGTGAGCACTCAGGGAGCCCTCCCGGGGGGACGCAAGTGTTTGTGGACCTTGGCCCCCAGGGCCCGGTTCCTGGCCTGCATGCTGACATACTGGCTGTCCACGTGTGCGCACACAAGCACATCACCAGCACACAGGACATCCCTACAGCAATGACACGATCACTGTTCCTGACAGAACTAAGCCTCAGCTCACCTAGCCTCCTTCGAAAACCACCAATTCCTTCATTTAATCCTCCTAACAAGGATTTGTTATGAACAAGAAGCGAAGGCTCGAAGAGGTTGACTCTCCCAAGGCTTCTAGGGAAAGCTCAGGGCCCTCTGGACAGCTGGGGAGGAAGCACTTCCCGGCACACGTCACTTACCCCAGTGCTGCTGGGCCCGGCTCACCAGGAAGGGCCTCATCTGGAGGAGACGGGTGGCATAAATGTGGGCGTACTGCCGGCTAAAGCTGCGTTCTCCCAGCCTGAAGGGCTGAGAGGAGTTGTTGTACGTGGATACAGGCACGCGGGCAAAGGTGGCATTGCTGGCTGATGGTGGGGACAGTAGTGTGTGGGCCCTCTGGGCAGCCTGCTCAGAAAACATGGCCGTGCTTGAGGTGTCCAGATCCCTGTGAAAAACAGACGGATCCCTGCAACCCTGCGCACCCCCTGGCATCCCCCCTGCATCCCACTGCAGCCCACACCACACGTGGCCCAGGACAGCACATTAACCGTGCTGGGCACCAGGGCTTCAGCTCGGACGCCTCATCCAAACAGGGAGACAAGGAAAGCCAGAAGATGCCTCTCTCCCGCCTGGAGCATCTGTTGCCTGCCTCACATCTCTGGCTCCTGCCCCCCCGCCCCCAGCCCCTGCCCCTCCGCCCCTGCCCCCTCGCACACACTCAGGACGGCCCTACTCTTCTTACTCTTACATAAGCTACCAGGAAATAATAAGCCTATTTTAAATAAAAATAAAACAGACACCCGTCTGTCCTCTGCTCCAAGGCTCCGCATCTCAGGGACTCGAACCCCAAGTCCCAGGAAGGGCTGAGAGCCTGCCCGCAGGGGCACCGTCGCTGGCTCCCACTCCCCTTCCACGGCCGTGGTGGCGCCCACGAACCACACAGCGTGCGTGCACCGTCTGCCTTCGCGCACGGGGACCCGGGCTCCGGGTGCAGGGCGCGCTCACCGGCCCTCCTCCGTGTACCTCGTCGGCACGGCCGCGCGGCTCTGGGCTGGTCCAGCCAAACCCCAACTAGGAGCCCCGCCGGCCCCGTCCGCCCAGCCCACCGCCGTCACCTCGCGGGCCCCGGGACTTGGGTCCTCAGACGCCCCGCCGCCCGCCGCCTCCCGCCTCCCGCCAATCCGCGCGCCCCGCCCATCGCCGCCTCCCGCCCTGCCCCGCCCATCGCCACCTCCTGCCAATCGCCGAGCTGTCCGCCCCGCCCACCCCCGCGCCCCGCCAATCCGTGCGCCCCGCCCATCGCCGCCTCCTGCCAATCGCCGAGCTGTCCGCCCCGCCCACCCCCGCGCCCCGCCAATCCGAGCGCCCCGCCCAGCCCATCGCCACCGCCTGCCAATCGCCGAGCTGTCCGCCCCGCCCACCCCGCCCATCGCCACCTCCCGCCAATCGCCGAGCTGCCCACCTCCGCGCCCCTCCTCCCGCCTCGCCTCCCGACCGCGCGCGCCCCGGGCTTTCCCGGCCTACGCGGGACTCGCGCGCCCGACCGTCGGAGACCTGTGCCTTCTGTCCGCCCGCGGAGGCCGGGCCGGGACTGCGATCCCGCGCGGCGGAGGAGCGCTTAGGGTTAGGGTTCGTGTTAGGGAAGCGGACGGGCTGCGCCTCGGCCCGCACCCGGGTCTCTGTCCCCGTCCGCACCGCGCTGCCCCCGCTCGCTCGCAGTCGCAGCCGCGTCATTGCCGGCGCGCCGCTTCCGGTGCCAGGCTTGGTCTCCACGACGACGGGGGTGGTGACGTGCGCAGCGCGCGGGAGGCCGGGCCCGGGCGGGGGTGGGGGGGACGGGGCGGGGCGGGGCGGGGCGTGCAGCGTCCCGCCGCGCGCTGTGTGCTGCGCGAAGGGCCCACCCGATTGGGCGTGTTCCGCGTGAAACCGAAACTGTTCTACAATGTGGATCGAGGGAAGGGCTCGCGGCGGCGCGTGTGCGGCGGGCTCGTCGCAGTGGGTGCGTGTGGGCGGACAGCCGGCGCCGGTGCGGGCGCGCTGCAGGGCAGGCCCTCCCGCGACCCGGGATGCTCGCCAAGGGGCTGCTCTTCGGGGGAAACCGATAGGGCATTAGACGCCCCACTTCAGCCACCGCCGACCCTGGGCCCCTTCCCTTCCTCTGTGCATGGGCCGCTCCGGGCGTCCACACAAGAGCAACCATGCACTATCTGTGTGCTTTGTTTTGTTTTATAAATTTTTTTAAAAGATTTTCTTTATTTATTCATGAGACACACAGAGAGAGGCAGAGACACAGGCAGAGGGAGAAGCAGGCTCCATGCAGGGAGCCCGACGTGGGACTCATCCCGGGACCCCGGGGTCACGCCCTGGGCCGAAGGCAGACGCTAAACCGCTGAGCCACCCGGGGATCCCCTGTGACCGTATTTTAATTGCCTTATGTGTGTGTGTGTGTGTGTGTGTGTGTGTTTTAATTTTAGGAGTGCTTTATATATCCCAGATATTAATCCCTTATCAGATATGTAATTTGCAGATATTTTCTGCCATCCCATAGGTTGCCTTTTGCTCACAGTTTTCATTTTGATGAAGTCCAGTCGTGCTCTGTTCTTTCTTTTGTCTGCTGTGCCTTCGATATCATATCCAAGAAGTCGCTGCCAAATCGATGTTGTGAAGTTTTCCCCCTATGGTTTCTTCTCAGAGTTTATAGGTCTTAGGTTTAGGTCTTTAATCCATGTTGGATTAATTTTTGTATATGGCTTTAGGTAAGGGTTCCACTCTGGCTTTTTGCATGTAGAAATCCAGTTTTCCCAACATCGTATGTTGGAGAGGCTGTCCTTTTTTCATTGACTAGTCTTGGCATCCTTATCAAAAACTGTTTGACCACACATGCAAAGGTTTATTTCTGGGCTCATTGTTTCACTGGCCTGTATGTCTGCCTTTATGCCATTTCATACTGTTTTGATTGTTGCAACTTTGCTGTAGATTTTGAAACCCAGAAAGCATGAATCCTCCCGCTTTGTTCTTTTTTTAAGATTGCTTTGGCTATTTGGGGTCCCTTGAGATTCCACGTGAATCCTAGGAAGGATTTTCCCATTCCTGCAAAATGAAAACAGAATTAGTCCTGAAAGTCACAGGCCCAGGGCAAAGGACCAAAAGGGACTGTTTTGGTATGACCAAGGTGGGTCTCTCAAAAGTGGTCATTCCAATCAGTTGGTGATGGATGTTCTAGATTCATTGAAGCAAGCTCTAGAAAGTAGGCATGCAGCCCAGTGATTGGTACCAGCATCCCTGGCCTTGGCTTTCCTTGTTTCTGCTCTTGTGGCTTCCATGGGTGCACAAGCTACGGTTTCCTTGGACCTCAGCCACCTCTTTCTTCTCAGACTGAGCGTTTGCTGCTTCTTCCACTTGGCTCTTATGGCGTGGAGGTTTTCAAGAAGCTGGCACTGAGGCTGAGAGAGCCTCTCTTTAGTTGTTTTCAGCAATATATTTTAGTTTTCAGTGTACAAGTGTTTCACATTCTCGGTTATGCTAATTCCTGGGTATTTTATTCTTTTTGATGCTATGTAAATAGATTTTTTTAAAAAAAATTATTTATTTATTCATGAGAGACACAGAGAGAGGCAGAGACACAGCCAGAGGGAGAAGCCGATTCTATGCAGGGAGCCCAATGTGGGACTCGATCCCGGGTCTCCAGGATCACACCCTGAGCCAAAGGCAGACACTCAACTGCTGAGCCACCCAGGTGTCCTGGATTTTTAAAGTTTCATTTTCAGATTGTTTATAGAAATGCACCTGGAGTTTTTTAGATTTTTTTTAATATATGACTTATACTCTATTGACAATTTACTAATTTTTTAAAAAATATTTTATTTACTTATTCATGATAGACAGAGAGAGGCAGAGACAGGAGAAATAGGCTCCATGCAGGGAGCCTGATTTGGGACTTGATCATGGGGCTCCGGGATCACACCCTGAGCCAAAGGCAGATTCTCAACCACTGAGCCGCCCAGGTGACCCGAGGAGGTTTTTTAGTGGTTGCTCTAGGGTTTACTTATCCATCTTAACTGGCAGAGTCACATTCAGATTTATACTAGTTTAATTCTAATAATCTTTAGGAACATTACTCATATAGTTCTATTCCCTTTTGGCTTATTGTTTTTATATTATATTATATTATATTATATTATATTATATTATATTATATTATATTATATTACAAATCCAATGACACATCATTATATTACTACACTACCACGCATCCCTTTACATCTCTGATTCCACCCACCCCACATCCTTTGTATTCTTGTTGGCAAATATATTGCACATATATTCCTCTATGTTATAGGCCTAATAATACATTATATATGTCTTATTTTACAAAGGTTATCTTAAAATTAGTTTTTTTAAAATTTATTTTTTAATTTAGAGATAGCACGAGTGGGGGGAAGGGCAAAGGGAGAGGGAGAAGCTCAAGCTGATTCCATGCTGAGTACAGAGTTTGACACAGGGTTCGATCTCATGACCCTGAGGTCATGATGTGAGCTGAAATCAAAAGTTGGATGCTTCCATTCCTTTTTTTTTTTTTTTTTAGATAGATGCTTCCTTTCCTGATCAAAACTCTTCAGAGTGTAGGGATAGAGGGAACATTCCTCGACATCTTAAAAGCCAACTACGAAAAGCCCACAGCAAATAGCATTCTCAATGGGGAAGCACTGGGAGCCTTTCCCCTAAGATCAGGAACAAGACAGGGATGTCCACTCTCACCACTGCTATTCAACATAGTACTGGAAGTCCTAGCCTCAGCAATCAGACAACAAAAAGACATTAAAGGCATTCAAATTGTCAAATAAGAGGTCAAACTCTCCGTCTTCGCCGATGACATGATACTCTACATAGAAAACCAAAAGCCTCCAACCCAAGATTGCTAGAACTCATACAGCAATTTGGTAACATGGCAGGATACAAAATCAATGCCCAGAAATCAGTGGCATTTCTATACACTAACAATGAGACTGAAGAAAGAGAAATTAAGGAGTCAATCCCATTTACAATTGCACCCAAAAGCGTAAGATACCTAGGAATAAACCTAACCAAAGAGGTAAAGGATCTATACCCTAAAAACTATAGAACACTTCTGAAAGAAATTGAGGAAGACACAAAGAGATGGAAAAATATTCCATGCTCATGGATTGGAAGAATTAATATTGTGAAAATGTCAGTGTTACCCAGGGCAATTTACACGTTTAATGCAATCCCTATCAAAATGCCATGGACTTTCTTCAGAGAGTTAGAACAAATTATTTTAAGATTTGTGTGGAATCAGAAAAGACCCCGAATATCCAGGGGAATTTTAAAAAAGAAAACCATATCTGGGGACATCACAATGCCAGATTTCAGGTTGTACTACAAAGCTGTGGTCATCAAGACAGTGTGGTCCTGGCACAAAAACAGACACATAGATCAATGGAACAGAATAGAGAACCCAGAAGTGGAGCCACAACTTTATGGTCAACTAATATTCGATAAAGGAGGAAAGACTATCCACTGGAAGAAAGACAGTCTCTTCAATAAATGGTGCTGGGAAAATTGGACATCCACATGCAGAAGAATGAAACTAGACCACTCTCTTGCACCATACACAAAGATAAACTCAAAATGGATGAAAGATCTAAATGTGAGACAAGATTCCATCAAAATCCTAGAGGAGAACACAGGCAACACCCTTTTTGAACTCGGCCACAGTAACTTCTTGCAAGATACATCCACGAAAGCAAAAGAAACAAAGCAAAAATGAACTATTGGGACTTCATCAAGATAAGAAGCTTTTGCACAGCAAAGGATACAGTCAACAAAACTCAAAGACAACCTACAGAATGGGAGAAGATATTTGCAAATGACGTATCAGATAAAGGGCTAGTTTCCAAAATCTATAAAGAACTTATTAAACTCACCACCAAAGAAACAAACAATCCAATCATGAAATGGGCAAAAGACACGAAGAGAAATCTCACAGAGGAAGACATAGACATGGCCAACATGCACATGAGAAAATGCTCTGCATCACTTGCCATCAGGGAAATACAAATCAAAACCACAATGAGATACCACCTCACACCCGTGAGAATGGGGAAAATTAACAAGGCAGGAAATCACAAATGTTGGAGAGGATGCGGAGAAAAGGGAACCCTCCTGCACTGTTGGTGGGAATGTGAACTGGTGCAGCCACTCTGGAAAACTGTGTGGAGGTTCCTCAAAGAGTTAAAAATAGACCTGCCCTGCGACCCAGCAATTGCACTGTTGGGGATTTACCCCAAAGATTCAGATGCAATGAAACGCCGGGACACCTGTACCCCGATGTTTATAGCAGCAATGTCCACAATAGCCAAACTGTGGAAGGAGCCTTGGTGTCCATCGAAAGATGAATGGATAAAGAAGATGTGGTTTATGTATACAATGGAATATTCCTCAGCCATTAGAAACGACAAATACCCACCATTTGCTTCAACGTGGATGGAACTGGAGGGTATGATGCTGAGTGAAGTAAGTCAATCGGAGAAGGACAAACAGTGTATGTTTTTCATTTGGGGAATATAAATAATAGTGAAAGGGAATATAAGGGAAGGGAGAAGAAATGTGTGGGAAATATCAGAAAGGGAGACAGAACATAAAGACTCCTAACTCTGGGAAACCAACTAGGGGTGGTGGAAGGAGAGGAGGGCGGGGGGTGGGGGTGAATGGGTGACGGGCACTGAGGGAGGCACTT